ACTCCAGTACCAGGGGAGAAATTCCCTCTCCACACGGGCACAACGCTGTCAGCAACAGCAACATGCCTCGTTGGGGCTGTAACAGCGAGAAAACACATTTTCACACAGCTGAAAACAATGAATAGTGAAAATACAAAAAGATCCGAGGGTAACTSTGGAATTTGGTATGGGGGGGACAAAAAGGTGTCCTGTCCCATGTTAACAAGATGATTTGCCCAGTGTAAGTATGTGCACATCTCAAACTGCTTCTCTCCAGAGAGAGTGATGAGGACAGGAGGAGGTTCTCAGAGCTTAGGAGCCACTTTTAATGACAAGGATTATTGGAGAAACAGCATTTTGGGGATTTGGGATTCCAGGAAGCAGCTTCAGTAGGAGCAGAGGGAGATAATCCCAATGTGACAGACAGACGCAAGGAAGCAGGACTGGAGCAGGGAGTGCAGCATCCCCAGGCTCACACACAGGTTACTGTCTGGTACAGGGATCAGCCATTCCAGAGCAGGATGCTGCCAGGACAGGGGCCTGGCCCAGGGCTCCCAGTRCTCTTCTCTGTTGGATGGGCACACCAGGGTGGTTCTCTGGAGCAGCCAAATCTTTAATCTGTCCTCCCTGAATCTGGCTGACAATGGCATCTCAGAGCCAGAGGATCCCCCTGCCCTAGAGGCTGCCATGGAAGGGATCAGGCTCTCTGGTCAGCCTGTGACTGTGAGGGGCATGCAGACCCTGCCCTGGAGGGCAGCAGAGGGGCACCAAGGGGACACACCCAGGCCCAGGGGACACCAAGGGGACACACGGTCCAGAGGACCCAGCTCCAACACCTCTCAGGTGGGCATGGTCAGAGCCCTTTCTAGGCTGGGGTCTGCCTGTGCACAGGGAAGGGCAGCAGTGCTCCAGGAGCCCAGGGCCAGTGTCCAGTCCAGGTGTCACCTGCAGAGTCCCCAGGCACTGCCATGCACAGCACTGGTGACGAGGCTGCCCCAAGCCTGTGGCTGCAGCACCCAGGATGGGCTGTTTGCTGCACAGAACTGGACACAGCTCATCTGTGGGGATGAGCTCCCTCCTGCCAGGCCACTATTGGGAGCACACAGCACCCTCCAGCTCTGACTCCACTTTGCCATCAAAACCTCAGGGAAGTGCCAGCTTCCCAAAGCAGCGCTCAGATCCTGTGCTTGTTCCTGCAGCTGCTGTTCCCAAATGTTTCACTCACATCCTTGGTCTGAAGGGTGCACACCACTGCTTGTACCCACACTCACATATAGGCTCCTGCCAAAGGGCATACAGAGCTTTCAAGGCTCTGTTTATTGCCCAAGATGTTTCTATGGCGACTCCCTTCGCATCCCATCATTGGCTGCAGAAAGCTTCTGGCCATCAGCAGCTTCAGGTGAGTTGAGGGCCTCAAGCTTCAAGTCACCTGCAGTTGTTAACACCACTGGCTACAGTAAATTGTGAAGAATTAACCAAACCACACCTGAAGAGGTAAGGGTGAGCAAAGCAGTGTCAGCAAGCAAAGAGGASAGAGCTCATGTCTCTGTCCCTTTGGTGTTTTCTCAGGTACTGGGGGAAAAGCAACAAAGAGGGGCAGGGGGTATCTGCAAAAGGGTAATGGACAAGCAATTGTGTATTCATGATTCCCTGAACAACTTCCCAGTCAGCAAAGCTCACAGAACTTCCATAACCAAAGCACGGGACCACTTCTCCCCATGCTGTGACACTGCCCTGAACAGAGTCAGGATGCTGCCAGCTCTGCTTGGCAAGCACCTCACTGCTCTTTCAGGGCARTCACAGATCCATGCATGGCTGCTGCTGACATGCACCAGGCCCAGCATCAYCTCCACCACAGCCACAGCTTCCACCATCAGCCTGGCAGGGCCAAATTCAGCACACACGACAGCAGTGACAGTGTGAGACAAGCAAGGTTGCTTTGTTTGAGGAGCAGACCCTGCCATAACAGYGTTAACCAGCACATAGCCCAGAGCCTCAGTCCTGCAGAGTGGAGCTAAGGCATGGCTCTGTCACAAGAGATCTGAAATTAGGAAGTGTAGCACTGAGTAGAGTCAAAACTGAATGAGTTCTGTTGAGGCTTTTTTCCAGGCTCATGAATGGCATTGCTTGAGTCAGAGTGAGGGGCAAGGAAGTAAGCAAAGCAGGACAGAAGAACAGGGCACAGAAGGCAGAGAGGAGGCMAGTGCAGATTTCCCAGAAAAGAGCTGCAGAACAGGACTGGGAAGGCAGCAGTGCTGCCCTTTCCCGAAAAAACGAGAATTGCAATCTTCCCTCGTGTTTAGTGAGCTGCCCTGAGATGGGGCACTCAGCAGAAAGGAAATACTTTCTGACAAGCACCTTGATTTTCAGCTTGTAGGTGYAGCAGCAATGAATGATCCAGTCAAAGCTGGCCCTTGGGCTGGAGCAGATGGACCAGCTTTGGGCTGGAGCACAGATGGACCAGCTTTGGCCTGGCTGCCTCTCCTGTGCCCAAGGGCACAACTACACAGAAAAATGCAGGGGCCTCAGCTTAGAAGGGTCTGTCCGCCACCCTTTACTCAAAGATGCCTTCTAGGACCTCTGGGGAGAGCTACCCTGAGCTGACACTGGTGTGCACCCTCACGGGGCAGGGACAGCCAGGGAGAGGCTGGGTCAGCACAGTGCAGAAACAGCTGAGACAGCACTCAGAAATTCAACATTTGAAGACAAAATCCATGCCCAGCCACCGAAGCACAGGCACTCCCACACAACCCACRTGCTGTGAAGTCTCTCCTTGTGCTCCCACCTCCCAGCAGTCCTGTATCCCTGTTTGCTGTACATGCACCAGGAAACATCAACAGCTAAGGGAGCTCTGAGGCTGCTGTGGGTCCCACACTCGCTGCCAGCTCCACCTGCTGAGACCCACTGTCCCACAGGCCCTCAGAGGAAAAAAGAGAGAAGGTGYTGTAATGCTGCCAAAGAGCTGAGAYACCCATTTGCAAGAATTCCAGCCATATTGCAAGTGGATCTGAGGAACAACATCACCAAGACACACAGCTTCTGTCAGAAAATAAAGAACCTAGACCCTCTGCACACATCCCAGCCAGCCTTTGGGGACAAGGACAGGCAGACACCGCTGGAGACTGATCCACTTTTGCTACCCAGACATTGTCCTGCAGAACCAGTAGTAAAATGCCATCCAACAATCCTTCCCCAACAGGATAACATAGAACTCCCTTCTTCCTGTCACAGCACAAAGGACAGTGAAAAGAAAGAAAAATGAAAGAGATACAGAGCCAGGCTAAAGTAAAGTCTGGACTACTCTCTGAAAGCAGAGTTGTTGCAAAGGATAAAATTGAAAATTACTGTAATGTGCTGTATTCCTTTTATGGACTTTGCAAATAATAGAAAGTGATGACTAAATGAAAAAGAAACTGTGAACTAACTGGGAGGATGGGTCTCTGCAGTGGCTGCCAGCAGGAGCAGAGAGCCCTCCACAGCTCTCCAGAGCAGAAACTAACCCACAAACTGGACACAACTGCAGACAGAGATGTCCCACAGAGCTGAGCAGGGAGTGGGCACCCAGCCCGTGCAGGTGCACGGGTGAGTCCAAGTCCAACCCCACTCCAATTCTGCAGCCATTTACTACCCAAATCCAGCCACAAGGACTTGGCTTTTCTGCTGGGATAGAGCGGGGACCTCACAAGTGACACAGCTCACAGGGACATGCAGGTATGAGCCCTGTGAATGCTGAGGCAGCCTAATGGAAGGACAGAGCTCTGTGCCCTCACCTGCAGCCCAGGGCAGCCACACACAGRGCACAGAGCACAAGGTGACACAGGGGACCCTGCTCAGCACAGAGCAAAGAGTGCGCGGGTGCCAAGGGCAGGGCAGGACATTCCCAGAGCAACAAACGGTCTGAGGCAAAGCTGGTGATATCCCTCCTTATCAGACACACCTTCCACAACGAAACACCATGGGATAAACTGGTGGTAGAGACAAAAGGGATCCCAAGAACAGCAAGGAGCTGCACACTGTGCCCACATACAACCTCAGGCAAGGAATCTGGTTGGGATTCACACCCACCTCATCTTTACATGTAATTTTTCAAGAAAGCAGATCACTCAAAATGGCCTGTGCCTCAGGATACGTATGGACTTATCTGCAGAGAAGTGTCATTGCTTGTAAACCCAAACACAGTTGCATAACCACATGGTTAAAAGATAACGACACAAATTCATACATGGCTGTATCCTTACGCACAAAMGCTGTTTAGCGACATGATGTCGGAAGAACCCAAGTGTCACCACGCCATTTCTTTTTCAATCTGTTTTTCTTTACTTTTAAAATATGGGCTTTTAAAATATAAAAAYGAATTATTTGAAAAAATATGTAATTGTACTTTAAAGGAAGAGCAGCAGATTAAATCCCACCTGAAGTCCAGTTTTRTTTCAAAGCTTTCACGAACAATCTAATCCTTCTAATGAAATAAAGTCCATGGGTTGAAAAAGGGGTTTCAAATAAACAAACATTCCCTCTGCAATACTTGCAGCCAAATTTTACTGCTATGGGATAGTGATTATGAGCATAAAAGTAAAAATTGCTACAAAAAAAAAAACCCTTGCTAGCTCAATATTATTTTTAATGTGCAAAAAGCCCCCCAATATAAACAAGAAGCAATAAATTGTGACCCTTTTCTCAGAATCCTTACACATGAAAAGGAACTATGAATTCTTCAAACATGACACTGCATTTAAATCATGAAAATACACTATTTTTCTATATGGAGCTAGGAAGAATAGTATTTAACTGTTATTTTTAACCCAAAGACAACCTTTTCTTTCTYGTTTTTTTTTCTGGAGGCCCGCTAGCTTCTTTTGAAAAGAGTTTTAAAACTGACCTTGTTCCAGTAGCCACTTCTCTGTCATAGGTATGAAATCACCATATCATATTATAAAGTGTCAATGCACCAAAAAGCAAAGGGCATTTTTTTTTAAAGGCAGGAACAAAGCTGGTTTTTTTACCTATGAAACAGCACATACCTTTTCTTTCATAAGTCCACCAATTTCAGCGCTGTATTATTCAGCAACCAGCATTTCATACAGAGACCAAACCTCACTTGATCTGACCCTCACCTCACTGGAGCAGAGATGTACGTGAGACAAAAGTCAGCACAGAATCTGGGCCAGCTTATTCAGATTTCAGTGGGCTCTACCCTGTGCTACTCTCAGGGTTCTGTCAACATTTCAGGGAATTCATCAATGAGCAGCACAACCACCTTTTGGCCTTGAACACAAACAAACACAGCACCAGCACAGAGAAASCGTTTCAGACTCAAAGCCAGAAAAACAATTTATTTTCAGCATTTGAAAACTGATGTACCAGGACAATGATCTCCAACCCTGATAATTGATTGCTGCAAATACTCCTTACCCAGTGCTCTTGAAAGAGGTGGAGAGCCTCCACCAGCCTCATAGGGAAAACCTGGCAAAGCCCAGGTTCTGAGCTGGGCATGGAATCCATGAGAACAGAGACTGCAGGCTTCAGCCATGCTCTATGCATTGGGCACTCTGAAGAGATAGAAACAGGTCCCGAAGAAACTGTCACGARCTGAGATTTTCTCAGTGCTATGCAAGACTATGTTGCAACACATGGCATTTTGACAGCTCAGTACCAGCCCAGGAGCAGGGACAGAGAGGTGCATTCCCCCATTTATTTCCTCAGGTCATGCAAGCCAGTTTGGAAAACCAAAGCTCGGGTGAAGCCACCCATCCTTCATAGCCCTCCCAGGTCCCCAAGGTGCACTGCACTGTCTTGGGAAGTTATGTCTGAACTCCTGAGCCTGCCCCTCCTTGCCCCTGCCTACACCATCACCCCTGTAACTGGTCTTGTTCACGCATTAAATGAGGTTASATGAGAAGACAGGGCAAATTTCCCCCGACTCTGCAGGATGCTGAAACTGTCAGAAATCAAATAAAAATGAACGGAGGCATCAACCGCATCCCTCCRTTCCCAGACCCGTTGCCAGCGCCCGCAGGAGCTCAGATGCCACAGGGTGGGCTCCTCGGATGCCCGGTGAGAGGCACCTGGTGTGGCAGCACTGGGCCAGGGCATGCCAGGGAGCAGATGCGGCTGCAGCTCTCGCTCCCAGAAGACCTGTGCACAGCCAGTTGGGAACCACATTTTAAATGAGGAAAGTGCTAGTTTTAGAACAGTTATTTTTAGTTTGTTGTTAGAAAAAAAATGTGGCTCTGTGAAGAGAGATGTTACCCGGCCGGCTGTAAGGGCTCCCGCTGGGTTCCTCAGGCATAGCAGCCACACATCCACACGCGCCCCAAGCAAAGCCCGTGCAGAATGGGCACGGAATGGRCGCGACGGCTCTGGTCTCAGCGAGGGAAATGGGGAGATGGCTCTTGGACAGAAGGAGCCGAAGAGCGTGTTTTAAGATACCGYCSGTTAAAAAACGAGCTGCAGCTCTTSAAGCAYCGGACTGCTTTAATTGGAGGGTGTGCTCGGACCCGCCGCTGGCGGGGCCGCGCCGGAGGCATCAAGCCTCTGGCTTAGCCCGCCGGCACCGAGGAGACCGGGGCACCCCGGGGCACCC